GTGCTCTTCCGATCTCCCCAAAACCCCAAAACCCCTTGATAGTTTAATTACTTAGAATTAGAGGAAGTTTAAATCAAAGTTTAATTATTATTACAATTTAAAAATTTAGCATACACAAAAATGTCTGATATTGATGAGCGAGATGACTTCATTGAAGATGATTACTACATGGAAGCCATCGATGACAATGAAGTTATAGATCTGGGAGAGGATGTGCAACCTTTCTCTTTGAATTTAAACAAGAATATCAAGGGTTTTCAAGGAAATATTTTCCTCAAAAATTATGAGTAGGATTAGCATAAAGTCAAAACAAAATATAACTCTTATTCAGATGATGAATTTGAATAAGAGGCAGATGAGGATACCTAAGATTTTAAGCCAGAGCCAGTCAAAGTTGAAGATAAACAGGAACAGAATATATTTGGATCGCTTAAATTTGACAGATTTGATGAAGAACAAGAAATATAGATTGCATATGATAATGAAGAGGATGAGAGAGACTCCGACTTTGACAAAGAATAGGAGGATAAACCAGAGATCATCCAAATTGAAAATGTATAATCACCTGAAAAGTCCTTCAACGACGATGAGGACTCTAATAACTTGATCGACTAAAGAGTATTCAATAGGTTTTCTAGCACATTCAAGTTTAATGGAAACGAATTCCAAGATTTTAAAAAGACAAAGAACTACAATAATGAGGAAGAGAGTGATCATTTTCGTGATAACTAATTTGATTTCGATGATTTTCAGCCAATTTAAGATGAAACTTTCGAAGATTTTGATTTTTAACCTGAGTAAAGATCACCCTTAAAGGAAAAAAATAAAAATGATGATAAAGATTAGGATCCTGCTCCTTTCAACTTTGAGTTTAGTAAGAGTTCTAAAAAATTAGATCAGCTCTCTCTGTTGAGAGGAGGAACAGATTAATAAATAGACATTAGAAAAGGAATTTCAGTGGAAAAATATTTTACAGATAAAAAGGAAATAGAGGTGATTCAACACAATGATAAAAAAGAAGAGCCTGAAATGCTTTCCAACAAAAATGTTGAAATAATAAAGCAGACTAAGCATGATAAATTCTTTGAGGTTCAGAAGGCAAAAGAGGAACAGAACGATGATGAAGATGAGATTGAAGAGGAACGTGATTTTGGAAGTGACGATTCAGATCTTGAAAGAGATGATCAAGAGAGGGACAAAGATTTGGATGAATTATTTGGCTTTAAGAAAGAAAATGTAGAGAAATTAAAAGAGGACAAATAAAAGGAGGTAGATGATGGTACTATAAAGTTAGATTTTAACTTCGAGGACTGGATAACTGGTGTTAAGTATGAAAGATGGTGCATTATAGATGGAGCAAGACCATAAAATGAAACATCAGACAAAACTGTTATCGAAAAGCAAGTTAAAATATCCAAAAGACTAAATCATATCATGGAAAGATTATTTCAAAATATAATGAAAAAGAATCAAAAGATTCCAACCTAGCCCATCAAATTCAAGAAAAGATCTAGATTTATAGCTAATTAAATAGAAGTAATGACTGATTTCATGTTATTATCAGAACAATAAATAATGTTGCAACCTTAAAATCCCTAGATATATACTGATTCAGAGATATCTATTTCAAAGTAAATCTAATAAAGAATGCTTAAAACATTTTAAACGAATTTTTAAAAGAAAAAAATTCCAATAATTATAGAAAAATGTCAATCTTATAGAGACTATGTAATCCACTCTGAATATTCCTATTCTAAAGTGGACCAGTATTATAATAATTCGTTAAATGATGAGAAAGAAATTTAATACGAGGACTACCTTGAAAATTACAATGAGAATGCAATGATTGATGAGCAATTTACCCAGCAAATTAAAATATAATTGAGACCTGAAGTTATATTTAATCAAGTATTTTAGGAGAAAAAATTTATGAGTCCTTAGAAAATGTCTGTAAATAATAGAATTTGTGTGCTAAGATAAGAGATATTGCCTTTTGAAACCTCTTTTGAGACTTAAAGTCGATCTAATTTAAATAATTAAAGTAGCATTTAAAGCAGTTCAAGTAAAAAGATAAGAATCTCTAGGAAAAGTATTCAATTTATTTAGTAGGCAACTAAAGAGGCTAAAACAAAGGCTTAGTAATTAAATTAAGATGAAGTTCCATAGAGGAGTTCTTCATCTTTTCCTTATTCTGATAGAATATAAAATGAATCATAAAATTTAGGTGGGAAACTGTTTCCTGTTAAAATGATAAAGATAAAGCTTAATGATGGCTAAAAAACCAAACCTTTATTGAAAGAGCATATTAACAAGAATAGTATGATTGAAGAGGAGAAAAATCAAAAGATGACAAACAGTGTTGTAAAAAACTTCTCTAAATCCATATAGAATCGCATTCGAGAATTTTAGGCTGTGAACCCAAAACTTTTGAAAATCAAAAAGAATTTTATGAATCCTCAAGGCAAAAGTAATTAGCAATAGAGCTAATAAGCTAAATCATTGGGAATAAATTCCACTAGTGAAGAAGTATTTGATAACATAAAGTAATAGCTAATGTCTTAAAAGAGATTAAAAGCAGATCTCTTCAGGTCTTGCTTAGGTGACAAAAGCTAAACTAAAGAAATATCTACCATTGTTGTAAATTAAGAGAGCAATTTAAGAGTTTCAAAACAGCTTTCGTTAAAAAATTAAACAAATAACTAATTTCCTAAAGCTAAAATCTCTAGAATGAGCGAACTAATAAAAAATAATCATTAGGTGTTACACATTGAAGATTTGGATTAAAAGTCATTTACGGAGGAGGCTACCAATGAAATAAGTGAAATCTAAAGTGAAGATAGAAATAATATGTTCTTTAACTATGATACTAGCAATACTGCTATTAAGCAGCCCAGAGTCATAAGCATTGATATGTATCAAAACTATACAGATGTCAAGAAAAGAGATAAATCTAGGAATTTAGAAGAAAGTATGTCATTAGATGAAATTAAACTTCCTGAAAATCAATTTCTTTCATTTGGAAGTAATGGATCATCTTAAAATTCTAATCGGAGAGAGCTAAAAAATACTATCTTAACAGCTAATTTGCCTTCGAATAAAAATATAACTGCCTCACTTTCACCTAGTAACAATAGGCCTGTAAAAATTAAAGAAAACTAATTCAACTCAGAGTTAATTGCGTAACACATTAAGGATATCACCCCAGCTAAGCAGATGATCAACAATTTTCTATCTTGATTTTATCTTTTGTTTAGGAAAGTTTTCATATGAAGACTATTATAGAATAATTTCAAATTGCATTGCATTTTAGTTATAATTTAGTAAATGTCGCTCTTTGGGGTTTTGGGGTTTTGGGGTTTTGGGGTTTTGGGG